TTGTCATATGACAAACTATCACACACCCATAAGGCATATGTGTCTAGGATTTCTAATTTGTTTGTGCCCAGAACTATTCAGGAAGCATTAAGTGATCCGAATTGGAAATTAGCAGTGAAAGAAGAGATGGATGCTCTAAACAAAAATAACACTTGGAGTATCACTGATCTACCACAAGATAAAAAGGCAGTAGGGTGTAAGTGGGTCTTTACAGTGAAATGCAAGGCTGATGGAAGTGTGGAAAGATACAAAGCGAGATTAGTAGCAAAAGGATTTACTCAAACTCATGGTATTGATTACCAAGAGACTTTTGCCCCAGTTGCTAAGATCAATTCTATCAGAATTCTTCTTTCTCTTGCAGTAAATTTCAACTGGACATTATATCAATATGATGTTAAAAATGCCTTCTTGAATGGTGAATTACATGAAGAAGTATATATGAGTTTACCTCCTGGATTTGAAAAAAATCTTGGAAGAAACAAAGTATGCAGATTGAGAAAATCCCTATATGGATTGAAACAATCGCCAAGGGCCTGGTTTGAGAGATTTGGAAGTGTTGTTAAGAGACACGGTTTCACCCAAAGTCAAGCAGATCACACTATGTTCTTTAAACACTCATCTGAAGGTAAGATTGCTATCTTAATAGTGTATGTTGATGACATTATTATTACAGGAGATGACGTCAAAGCAATTAGTGATCTGAAGAGAAGACTTGAGGCTGAGTTCGATATCAAGGATCTTGGAAAGTTAAAATACTTTCTTGGGATGGAGTTCGCAAGATCTAAAGAAGGTATTTTTCTCAACCAGCGCAAGTACATACTCGATTTACTTGCAGAAACAGGGATGACAGGGTCTAAAGCAGTAGAAACACCAATGGATCCCAATGTGAAACTAAAGTCAGTTGTTGAAGATGAAATAGTAGATAAAGAACGTTATCAACGATTGGCTGGAAGACTAATTTATTTGTCACATACAAGGCCAGATATAGCCTTTGCAGTGAGTGTAATAAGCCAATTTATGCATGCACCAGGTGCAGCCCACTTTGAAGCTATTTTCAGAATATTAAGATATTTGAAAGGTACTCCGGGAAAGGGGCTGATATTCAGAAATAGAGGACATATACAGGTTGAAGCCTATACAGATGCTGATTGGGCAGGTAATATAAATGATAGAAGGTCTACCTCAGGATATTGTACTTTTGTAGGTGGAAATCTAGTTACATGGAGGAGCAAAAAACAAAATGTTGTAGCCAGGAGCAGTGCAGAAGCTGAATTCCGATCTGTGGCCCATGGTTTTTGTGAAGTATTATGGATCAAAAAGTTCATGGAAGAATTGAAGTTCTTTGGCCCAACTCCAATTAAAGTTTACTGCGACAATAAGGCTGCTATTTCTATTGCCCATAATCCTGTCCTACATGACAGGACGAAGCATGTTGAAGTGGACAAGCATTTCATCAAAGAAAAAATTGACAGCGGTGAGATTTGTATGTCCTACATACCTACCAAAAGTCAAGTAGCAGATGTTCTCACAAAGAGTCTTCCAAAGAGACTGTTTGATAACATGGTGTGCAAGCTTGCTATGAACGATATATTCATGCCAGCTTGAGGGGGAGTGTTGAATATTAGCACAAAATCAAAACAGATTCTGTCATACAGCTCATTATGGCTGGATTCAAATTGTGATTAAATAGAAATTAATTGTATTATTATATTCTTACCTTATTTAGGATTAGCATTTATAGGGAGAATAATTACCCCTATTTCTTAGTGTAATTTATATTCTATAAATACTCATGTACTATGTTACAGAATAAAATAAATAGAAAAAGCATATTTCTATATCTTGTATACACAAATTCATAGGGAAGTCAATATGTTTCTTTGGAAAATTAATCATCATTTGGAAACTCAGTAACACATGTATTCTTATCACGCAGAAGAAAAATCCCGAACCAGACAAAAAATTCAAAAAGTAAAAAGTATTTAAATACAACTTATATACCTTATGAGGCCTCAGTGTTCTTGGATTTCCTTCAGCAAGAATGTCCAGGCCATATAATTTTACAGCTCGTGAACTCGCAATAGCTCCAAAGTGTCTTACACAATTTATGGCCATTGTCTATTCACAAAATCTTAATAGTTAAGACATGTCACTCTACAACCTAGTCGATACATACTTTCACACAAAGAAAATTCATAATATACCTTATCAGCAACAACAGTATCATGGTCAACAACTCTGTCTACACCTAAATCGTAAACCAGGTCAGGACCTAAAATTGGCATGTTTATATAAGCCAATAGATTTGCCTCCATTGAGAAATAATCACTAAATAATTCACAGTAAATATGGTTGATTCAATTGGTAGAACCACATTTCAACTGCCTATAAGAAGAATATGATTATATCAATGCAACAGTTATAATTCGAAAACTAAACCATCAATTCATAAATTAAATTATGGAACCTTAAATGCAGCTTCGTAATAGTCACATGGCATAGTCTCACATTTTGGACACGCTTTTAAAGCTGCATCCTCAGTGTATGATCTCAACACTCTCTATATTGAACAAATCATTTGTTGGCAGCACGACAAACATTGTCATGGATATTTCAGCTGAATAGTAAATAGAAATGCATACGCATGATACATGATAACCCACGTGCACCTTTGATCCATCACTTGTAGAAGAAGAATCATCAATTGACGTTAACGACTCTGCAGTAATTATACAATTTACATCATCATGCTACGGTAAGCCAAAAATCATAAATTTCATACACAATTTAAAGAGAAAAATAATGTCAATTTTCTGTGCAGAATATGGAACTGGGTGTTACATACCTAACACTTCTTGTGCTGTAAGTCGCCGTTTTGGATCAGGATTTAGCATCTTCTTTACAAGATCTTTCGCATTATCAAAAACTTTCGGCCATGAGTCCCTTTTGAAATCAACAACAGACCGTATAATTGCTTGTGCAACTCCTTGCTCAGTTTCTTCATTTCACAAAAGTGGAAGAGAGACAAAGTTTAGTAAATCAGATTAATCAAATATAAAAAAGAAAAACAACAAATAATAATGAAATTGGAATAACTCTGAAGTGAAATGGGAAAATCCTCTCTTTTAACAATCAAACATCATTCACCGAATCACAAGACGAAACTAACCTGCCCAAAATGGAGGCACACCACAATAAGATGTATAGAATAACTCCAGCACTCCAAATATCTACTTCCGGGCCATAATTTCTCTTCAATACCTCCGGAGCCATGTAATATGGACTTTCAACTATCTCATTAAATCTTTCACCTGCATAAAATGGAAAACTTTAAGCCAATTGCAAACCCATGACACCAACTAAGCAACATTGCAGACTTAATCACCAACCAGAATCCTTACCTGGTTTAAAAAACACCGGTAAACCAAAATCTATAGCTTTCAAAGTTGCGGTTTCCTTCTTATTCGCAAACAAAAAATTCTCCGGCTTGAGATCTCTATGCATCACACCAAAATCTATAGCTTTCAAAGTTGTGGTTCACCTAATAACATAATTATATTCCAAATTCCAAATACATAAAACAATAACAACTTCCCAAAAAAAGCTCTTCACTACTACATAACAAAGTAAACTCCATTAATTAAATTAACTCAATTTCTATAAAAAAAAATTCTACCTACATTTTGCATACATGTCAACCAAAGCACTCCTTACATATACATCCTCCTCCACACCAATCACCAAAGTATAGCTATGAATAGATCCTGAAATCAAAACTGAGACCAAAAAGAAAATAAAAATAATTGTTAACAAACCCGTAGCCACCGTAAACTATAAATAAAACAAAAATGAGTGAAAGAAAATGAGAGATTGAAATGAAATATGAGTTTCTATGATACCATAGAATCGGAGACGAAGATTTGCAGAGCCATGAGTTTCTGCATTTACGAGATGGTTTCGACTTATTTCCCAGAGCTTCGGCGGCGGCGCGCTAGGGTTTGAGAGTGAGAGAGAGAGAGATGGGGAAGGTTGGGACGGCAAGGAAAGAGACGAAAATGAGAGAGGGGAAAGAATAGAGAGCGAATTCTGAGAGACGAGAAAGAGGGTGTACGAGAAAGAGAGAGAAGGTGAGAGAAAGAGAGAGAAGGTAAGAGTGAGAGGGAAATGGTAAGAATTTTTCAAAAAATTTCTGCCATTTGGCAAAATGGGTTATTTGGCAAAATGGATTCTTCTGATTGGATGATGAATTATTATTTAGTTGATTACATAAAAGGGCTTTAAGTAGTGTGAATGAAAATTTAGTGAAAGAGTATAAACCGTAGATTGGTGGCAATCAATAGTAATGAGTATGTAGTTGAGATAATTACTACAGTATTTTTTTAATATAATTATTTTTATAAAATAAACTAATTAAAAAATATAATTATTTAAAAAAAAAGACTAATATTTTAATGTGTATCTTCCCGACATTAAGTAGATTTTCAATATTAAAAATAAAGAAGAGAAAAGAATGATGCCATTCTAACAAATATGAAGACGTTTTTTCTTAAATATCATAAGAGAAGGAGAGAATATTGTAAAGAAAAAATAAGGAATAATGCGAAAAAAAGATTATCGATTCTTTTAACAAAACCTTTCTTTTAAGAAATCCAGAGAATATGCTCTTAAACGTTGGAATAACAAAACCTTAAACAATTATGTATAGTATAGTTTTCTTTTGATATATAATAGAATATATAAAACAATTTCCATATAAAGAGTGGATAAAAGTTAAAATCCACCCCACCTCTCAAACCTATCTCTAGACTGTTCGGTAAGAAAAGAAGAACCTTGAACTGTTTGGTCGCAACATAAAATATTATTAAAAAAAACCGGTCGGTCCCATATATGTATTTTCATCTCATATAAAACCTCAATAAATTGCTTTAATGTTCTAGTAGTAGCACCCCCAATAAACACCACAACACCAAAACCTTTGTTCGATACACAAACTTCAAGCAATGCCTTTGGTAACCGAAGAGTTGAAATCCAAAGCAGAGGTGTACTACGGTGACAAACTTTGCAGGGAGAAATTCTCTCTATTGCTGGCAGAAAAAGGTCTACCAGATGGATTGTTAACCATACAAGACATTGAAGAATGTGGACATGTGAAGGAAATAGGGTTTGTTTGGCTCAAGCTAGGGAAGAAGATGGAGAGTAAGTTTGATAACATAGTTGTTGGTTATGATTCGGTTGTTACTGCTTATATGGAACCAAACAAGATCAAGAATCTTACTGGTGTTAGGGCGAGAGATTTCTTGGTTTGGTTCACTTTGAATGAGATTTATGTTAAGCCGGTTAAAGGAGGATCGTTTGTTACGTTTAAGTCTTTGGTTGGTTTGTCCATGTCTTTTCCAGTATCGTTGTTCCAAGGTAGGAAGTTGGTAAGCAATGAAGATCAAATCGTAGTTAATTAGTGTATGTAATCTGATTATGATGCAGTTGTGTATATTTTTTTATGATTTATTGATGTTTGTTTATCGAAAATTGGGAACCTCTGGAAAATAAGAGGTAATAAAAATAGAATATGCTCAGCAATATTGGTTTTACGAAGAATATGCTTTATAAGCTGCTTATTATCCTCTTTGAAAATTTCTCACGTAATCTTCTTAAGTAAGCATCAAGTACGAAGAGTGCAAGGGTCGTTGTCAAGAGACGTATTTCTGTTTGAAAGGGGCATTTGCGATGGAGGCGCTAGAATAAGTTGTTGTTTTTTTTATGCGTGGACGTTAAATAAGTTGATCATAATTGATAGAATTTGAAACTTCAATGTGAATAATTGAGTGAGACAGAATAAGAGAGAGTAATTCAGGATGAAATTTTAGTGACATTAATCTTTAATAAACTATTCGAATGGGTATTTATAGAACTATAAGATGATGTACAATTATCAAATAAAATAAAATGAAAAACACTCATGTAATCGATTGCATTATTATGTCAACCGGTTATATTAAGTTACTAAAATACTACAAGTGTAACTTATGTCAATTGGTTGCACTTTGTTATTGTAAGTTCTGTTTGACAAATATAAAATGGGTATAATTGATTTCACTAATATGAACCGGTTATATGTATGTGATTACTCTTTTTCTCTCAACCACCACCTTAATTTATGTGTTTCAACTCTTCCATGCCCACTAGCTTCTTCAATCTCTTGGACATTTTAATTGTGACTTTTTTTGTCAGTAAACCGGCCACTTGGTCTTCACTTATACAATACTTCAATCTCAACCTTCTTTCACTAACAAGTTCTCTCAAGCAATGAAACTTCGTCTCTTATAGCAAAAACATTATCAATCATAAGCGTTACAACGTCACCATATTTGTTGTCCAACTCCTTCAACAGATTCTTCAACCACGCGGCTTGGCAAGCACACAACGAAGTTGCAATGTACTCGGTCTCACAAGAAGAGAACGTCACTACAGGTTCCTTCTTCGAACACCGTGAGAATTGTGTTTCTCTGAACATAAAGATGTATCCAACTGTAGATTTTCTATCATATTTATCTCCACACCAATTGGAATCGATAAATCCGAGTAAATTGCATTTTTTACCCTTATCCATTGTGGAAAAGAGAACTTCGCAGCCAACATAACATTTGACGTATCATAGAATCCTCTTGTCTGCTACCAAGTGAGACACCTTCGATCTCTCCATGAATCTGATCACAATACTGACATTAAATGCCAAATATGGTTGTGTATTGCACAAGTAAGGCAGGGATCCAATCAAACTGATTCTGAGCTGAATTAACATCTTGTTCATCCTCATTCTTTGACAACTGCAGTATCGGTTCAGCTGGAGTAATGACAGCATTGTGATACTCCATTTTAAACTTCTTCAAAATCTCAATCGCATACCTTCTTTGATGCACGAGGGGTCCTTTCTTAGACCTGTAAACCTCAATGTCAAGAAAGTATGTTATGAGCCCTAGGTCGGTCATCTCAAACTCCTTCATAAACTCACCCTTGAACTTAGAAATGCATCCTCCATCGTTGCCCGTAATCAACAAATTGTCAATGTAAAGACATAGGACTATCAACCCGTCATTTGCATCCTTTTTCACATATACACCATGTTCGGATACACACATGTTGAAGCCAATCTCCTTTAAGAAGCCATATATCCTCTTGCTCCAATATTTAGAAGATTACATTTCATTCTTGGAATATACAATACATACTTAATCAAAGAATGTCTATCATCTCTTCTCTTTATCGATACATCACCAATCCCTTCTGCCCTAGAGTTGTATCATTCGTGAACTTAATCTTGTTCTTCATGGAACAATTGGTTGTAATAAACCTATCTTTCTTTCCCGTCATATGTGTAGAACACCCGGAGTCCAAATACCATTGATTAATACATTGCATTGCTTCTTTCAAAATAACCATTGCATTTTCTTCAGGATGTAATTGGTTGGCATAAAACTACAACTGATTACCCTGTGGTTCTGCAGTGAGTTTCAGACTGTTGTTGTTGCTGTCTTGCAACCTGTTGTTGTTGTATTCTTCTTCGTTGATAATGACCAAGAGTTTGTTTTCATCATCAAACTTTTGTCTTGCCACTTTAACTTCATCTTCTTTAGGTTCTTTCTTGTTGGCACGACACTCTCTTGCAAAATGACCAAGCTTTTGACAATTATAGCATTGTGCATTGCTCTTGTCAACCATTCTTCTACCTCTTACATTTCCTCCTCTAGAGTTGTTTGACCCACTAGCCTTGTTTTCACCCTTTTAGAATGTTAAATTTTTAAAATTTTGGGACTTTCTTCCACCAAAATTCTAAAATTTCCTTCTACCTTTGCTCGTGGGACTTTTCATTCGCCTTCTTGTCTCTCTCATTGAAACGGACTTGCAAAATGATATTCGCCTTTGCCTTATCAACATTCTTTTCCTCCATTTTATGCCCATTTCCAGAGAGCTCTACAACTCCTATTTTCTCATCGCTGCAAGATCCTTCAATTTCTCAATCATAACCACTACATTGTGAAATCTTGGTGTCAAAGAACGCAAGATTTTTACGATAACATATTATTTTGTAATTGTTTCTCCACAGGCCTTTACTTGGTTCACCAACTGAGTAATTCTCGTCCCAAAATAATTGATGGTCTCGTTCTCTTTCATTTGAGTCAACTCAATGTGTCTTTTGTGAGTTTGCAACATCAAAGTCTTCGCATTGTCAGCTCCTTCATATACGCCTTCTCCAAGATTTCCCACACTTGCCTCGATGATTCGCAATCACCAACCTTCATGAAATTATCTGCATCAACACATTGATGGATCAAAAATAGTGCCTTGTAATCTTTCATCTTCTCACGCTTAGATCGTTGTGCATATGTTGCACCTTTTACAAGTGTAGTTACACAGTTCTTGATCACTTAAAGAACATCTTGATTTGTTTTCACCATCTGTCGTAATTCTTCGCATCGAGAATTGAGAGATTTGTAAAGATTCGTTCATTGGAGACAAAAGTCATTTTCACACCGTAAGTGTTTGATGGATTGCACCAAATTTTTGATGCTAAATGTTAGAACTTGAAACTATAAGGATGGTGAATAATTGAGAGAGAGAGAGAGAGAGAGAGAGAGAGAGAGAGAGAGATATATTCTAATGACATTAAACAGTAATGAATTATCCAAAAAGATATTTATACAACTACAAGATGAGGTACAATTACTGAACAAAATAAAACTAAAAACTCACATATATAATCGATTACACTGTTATGTCAATCGATTTCATTTAACTAGTCAGTTAGTTCCGTGAAAAATACTACATATGTAACCGGTTAACTTTCCTATTGTAAGTTGTGTTAGATAAACATAAAAGAGTGTAATTGATTACACTACTATGTCAACCAGTTAAATGTAAATTCATTTTTTCCTCTTAACAATCATGTTTAGAAACACAAATAATTAAAACTCAGTTTGTGTTAAACAAACCTCTCAAAAAAATGTATGAATTAAACAAAAGAAGATACAAACAAACTCTTCCTAAATTATTTTAATACAATTCTAACTTTTTGATCGACTGATTTCTTTTCTAGATATTGAGGTGGAAAAATTCATGTGGTTCAGTCAATTCAGACCACTAAACCAAGGCTGACAAGGGGACAGAAAATGAATCTTATATTTTCAAGTGTATTCCTCGACAATTTTAATATTGGTCAATGGAAGCCCAACAAATGATTTAAGATTGACCAAGATCTTAAACAAGGAGATCCGTTACCCCTGTTTTTATTCTTAATTGTGGCATAAGAATTCAATGTGATGTTGAAAAAGGCAATATAATTGGAAAGATTTCAAGGTTACAAATTCGATGAAGGAAATGAGAGATTCATACCTTTACAGTATGCAAATGACATTATGGTAATATGTGAGAAATTGTGGTCAAACATTAGAACAATTAAGGGGATAATAATGTTGTTCGAGTTGATGCCCGGGTTGAAAGTAAATTTGAACAAGAGCAAATTAGCGGGAATAAATGTTGCTCAATAGTGGATTACAAAAGCTGCAAAGGTATTAAAGTATGGTTTGTGCTCAACGCCTATCATGTACCTTGGTTTACCAATTGGAGCGAACACAAAAAGGATGGACACGTGGTCTGGCGTACTAAACATGGTGAAATCAAGGTTGTCTAATTGAAAGAACAGATATCCCTCTATTGGTGGTCGTATAGTCCTGCTAAAATCGATCTTATATGCGATTCCGGTATATTTTTTCTCCTTCTTCAAGGCTCCGGTAGTATCATTTTAAAATTAGAATCCATGTTTAAACGGTTCTTATTCTGTTAAATGGTTTGAAGTCAACATTTTAAGTTATAAGGTTTGGTAGAAATATTGGGATATTTTTTAGTGCAATTCTGTCTGCAAGCTGCTGTCTTTTATTTTCCAATGAAATTGTTATTTGGGTCTGTAGTATTGTGTGTATGTAGCTGTGTGGGTGAATGGTGTAGAGTATGGTCGTTTTTGTGTCTGTTTTAGCAGGTTATATTGGGAGGTCTGCAAAGTTTTAATTACAGTGCTGATGGAGTTGTGTAATATTCAAATAACTTATATCAACTCTATTTAATATAATCCATTTGTGCTGTTTAAAAAAAATATACTTGCCCCCTCATTCTGCTTTAGATTTTGACCAGACTATACGCACGTACCCATAACAAACAGGTGTAAAATAAAACATGATATCAGAGAACTCAGTATAAACAAAATAAAATTATCGTCTCCCATCATAGAGCGCTAGAAAATGCACTGAAGGAGAGTTTAGAAGGTTTTGAATAAAATTTCAAATTCATTAATCCCCTTGTAATAAACTGAACCAAAAAATTACTTAGTATTCTAATTTAACCCCTTCAAGAACACTCCCAGAAAAAGTGAGGGTCTCCTATCTTCCATTCCTCCAACTCTTTCCCTCATAACTCCCAATCAAAGACTTGATATAACAGCAAACGGTAGAGACATTATTTTACAACACTAACAAAAGAATGAGGCTGCATAACCAATAAAAGACATGCCATCCACCACCCTCTTCTCACACCCATATTTTATACAACTTTCTAAAATTGCAACAACTAGCCTATTAGAAAGAAAGGGTTCCTTCTTCCTTTTGTAGGTTTTTTTTTTGTAGGTGACAGGGGAGTGTGAAGACTTGCATCTTTCTCTAAATACTTGACAAACCAACTGCACCAGTTGCACAGCTTTTTTCAGTGTTCATTGGAAACTGGCACAAGCTTGCAACATACTATACATGTTTAAACACTCAATCAAACCTGCAAATTTATGAGTATTTAGATTAGATACATATGGAAACCAGATGCAAATATAAAATTCAAATTATTGAACATAACTGACTGCATTCTATTTACTGTATGTGCCCAACTTATTTATAGAGCATGCATGCATACAGTTTTCAGATAGAAAACCCTCTTAGTTAGTTGGATAGCAGAGGATTTTGCTAAGTTGTATACATAAATAAGAGGAATGGACTAGACGGAATCTCTCTTGTCATGGATGAATATCATCTCATCAGTGCTCCAATCACGGAGCTGTAGGAAGTGCACGTGAATGGATTTAGAGGTTGTCAAAGTTCATCAAAAATACATAACCAGATTGTTGACATTCTTAGAATTAGGGAAAGAAAGAGGTTGCATGTTTTTAAAAGATTACTGAAGGATGCTTGTGTTTAGATCCAATAAAGGATACTAAAACCATGAGAGCAAGAAAGATAGAAGGAGATCAAGAACCAGAACTACAATGAGGATAAAAAGAACATGGTATCACAATAACAAGCAAGGTGAAAATCAATTTTGAGGAACAGAAATAATAAGAGAGAAAAATGCTACTAAGGGTATGGTGGAACTGTGGAAATTGGAAGGTTTTGGTTAGTTAAGGAACTGGAGAAGAGAAGGAACAGATGCATTTTTCACTTCTATATCCTATCTTCTAGCTATGGAAATTGGAAGGACTTGGTTAGTTAAGAAAAATGCTCTCGTGGAAATTGGAACTGGAGTAGAGGAGAAGGAACAGATGCATAAAATAAAAATAGAATTAAAGAGTGTTTGAAAAGATCTTATGGGTAAAAAGGGAAAGGAAGGTTGAGAAAAGGACAAAAATGTTGCCATGGGTCGCATGAGAGAGAAATAAAAGCAGAATAAAGCAGAAGGGAGACCTTGTAGGTTAGGATTTTGTTTAGTGCAATCAAGCCCCTACTGCTGTTGGATCCACTATCCACAGATTCTAGCACAGTGAGGAACGAGTTATCAATAATAGCAGAATTTTTGGGTCTTAGGTTTCGCAAATAAACTTCCCCACCTAAACTACTAGGGAGCAATCTTCTATCTTTATAAGTAGGATTGTCTCTATTTCTCTGTAATTAAGATACCAATTCTTGTCACTTTCTTGCCAGCCGTATTATCACTTTCTTGTCCCTATTATCACGTGTTACCCCCAGATTGTGTTCATTTACATGCATGAAAACCATATTCCCATGTCTTAAGTGATTCCTACACATGTATTTGCTATGTGATATGTATGTTAGCAAGTATGAACAAATCATCAACTTAAAATAGTTGACAGAAAATGACTAGGATGCAAGGATAATCAACTTACCAAGATTTGGGGTATCGTAAGGAAGGCAAAGGATAATGAATATAAAACAACCGAGATTGTTGTCCCTGTAATTATGTTGTGTATCAGACGCTTGTCATCTTTGCTAGGCACAAACGCAATTTTCAGTGTATTGGTCAGCTGAAAGAGCCTATAGGAAATCTGCAGGCAAGTAGAATTTTAAAATCAGAATAAATAAGCATACAGAACTTAAATCCACCAGTGGTGTTTACTTACTGCAACATATATGGAAGTAGTAAGCAGGAAGTTCAACATTGGGTAGTCTGGGATCAAGGAAAGCAACAACTTGGGTTGACCATCTGGAATGCCTGATCTGAAATCAACCAATGAGAGAAAGAACAATTATGTCATTAGGATAAATAAAGAAAAAATTACATACAAAAGTAGACATTGGGCATGCATACATAAATCCTTTTACGCATGTAACTATGCATTTTTGTCAAGGATTTTCCCCTTTTTGACATTCATTAAGATATAAAAAGGATTAACTGAAAGGCTAAGAGTTTTGAAGTGTAACTACTGGTTCATCCTATTTGTAAAACAATACAATATTTCATTTCATTGTTATAATACTAGTAGATATTTAATAGTTTTATGCTAAGGTAAATTGATGTATAACAATTGTTTTTTGCTACATTCATACATACAAATTGGAAAATAGTATTTCGAGAAATTAAGTCAAATTTCAAAAAAGAAACAGAATTCAAAGTTACATGACATTGAAAGACATAACCAAACAAGCACATACAAGAATTTAGGAATCTATGTGACATTGTGCCAAGCATGTGAGTTCTATGTTCCCTATCATCCTTGATCCAGGTATTTCATGTCTAGGAAACTAAGATCATTGGGCATTTCAGTCGGTATCAAACACCCCTCAAATCTATCAAGATAAATATGAACTATTTCTAGTAAGGCACGGGTAAAAGCTACAAGCAAGAAATCAGCTTCTGAATACCTTAACCAGATATGAATCTGGGAGATGTAAGTCTCCAGTGTAACCTTTCCAAGCCATCTAGGAAAATAGAAGCATTACAAAATTAGTTCACAAATAATTACCTTCAACAAAGTAGTTACCACAATGGAATACATAAATACTTACGTAGCACAAACTATCTCATTAAGTATGATTACATGTTCGTGCATCTTTAAATGTTTGCTAAGATAAAGGAGCAAGAGAGAGGCTAATAAAGTTGTGGTGTACAAAGACAACTTACGCAAAAAGGGTCAGCGAAAAGCTACGAAAACTTTGTGTAACGTTGCGCAAGCATATGTAAACCCTGTAAAATAAATAAATGGCATATAAAACACTAGAAAGGTCTTTAATGGCTCAACGCCCAAAAATGATACATCAAGGAAACATGGGCATACGTTATGGGAATCCAAGAGGTATAAGGATGGTATTTGTTGTAAGTGACCTTGTCAAGCTTGTATATATGCTCAAACCAAAAATAACCCATCTAGAGATTAACTCAAGCAGTTAGGGTCACAAAAATAAAACAAATTGAATGTGTATTAGTTCAATAACAGTACCACTGATAGTACTCAAAAATTAAAAATATATATATTATACCACTGAAGATATTAGCACAACAGCAGCTTTGATTGATATTCTGCGTTTGATTTCAGTTTCCTCCAATTTCTCCATCCATCGTTCAACCTATAATATCATGTGATAGTTACTACCGTAGTCAACTAAAAGGAAAAAAGAAAGGAAAAGAGGAAGAAACAGGACATAGAGATTATTTGGATAAATTCTCAAGAAACAAGAACTAAGGAAAAAAATATTAAGAATTAGTCAAGAACTAAAAAATATTTTAAACAGCTTCACATATATTTTGAGAGTAACTTATGCATCTCATATTAAGAATTAGTCAAGAACTAAAAAATATTTTAAACAGCTTCACATATATTTTGAGAGTAACTTATGCATCTCATTTTTTCCTATAAGTTCGCTCATTTAGCTTATCCATGTGCCATAAGCTTATATGATATCAATAATTTTATTTTATTCAGAAACTCTTACGAGCTAGAAGGATCATCCCAACTGGGCCATATTCAGCCACTTCAAAATCATCACTAAATCACAGAGAGGATGAAGGTGAAATGGTGAATGATAGATTTTTCTTGGCTATTTCAAAAGCTTAAAATGAGAAACTCACAGTTGGATGATAATAAGCATATATCATTCCAATTATCCATATATAGCGATCAAGCCCTGAGCGAAAATGCCATTCATGCAAGCGGGGAAATTGTGATTTAGATGGATCAGGATCAGTATAACCTGCAAGTCCAAGGGAGCATTATTGTCAGCATGATCTGCTGTACTTTCAGGCATGCGCCCAAATATAAAAAATGTCACTGCCTCCCTTCATTTTTAATTGTCATTTTAGTATTAATAACTAGACATAAGAAAAACAGTAAATTTTGTTAGTTCTGATGAAATAATTTGTCTTTTCCTATAACATCTTTTAACTATTTTTTATCTCATTTCACATATTTCTCTCTTTGCAATAAGTAGTGGGGCATAATCTTGACAAGACAATAATTAATACTACTAGAACTTTCAAAACGACATATAAAAGGAACAAAAACTTCAAAAAAAAATATATTAAAAAGGAACAGAGGGAGTACTAACCGAGCAGGAAAGTAAACGGACTCCAAACCCATTCAAAGACTCCAGGTATCTCCCATACTAAGATAACAATCAAGAAGCAAGCAAAAAATTTTGCAGCAATGACTAACCCAATCTCATTGTACTTGTTGAAAATACCAAGTGCCCCATAAACCATAAGAGTGAAAAGAGTATGCATGGGGCAGATGTAGTATAACATGTAACTGTTGTCAAGTACAACACAACAGAACAATACCAAGAAATTAAGCCTCCACATCATCTATTCATCCAAAAAAAGAAGGAACATGTTACAGTCAGTAGTCAGTACAGACCAAATGTGAATAGAAACAATATATAATTCTAGAAATTGGCATACCTGAGCAAATCTAGCCATGCTAAAATCTTTACGAATATAATAATATGAGAAGTTTCCAAATCCAGTCATCCAAACATATGCAGCGATGAACAAACGGATTGCATTGTAGATTTCAGTTGCGGCAAAATAATGGTACATCAAAAACAATACCTGTGTAAATGTCAAATGGTAGAAATGTGGAATGTTAGTCTCATAAGATTTGAGTAATCAAGACGCAATGAAAAAAGTCTAGAATTTAAGGCCAAAATTAAATGTGTGCCCTATATAGTATATGTGGATTTTAAAGTATTCCCATCATAAATGATAACAATGAGACTATCTCAGACATATGAACTGAAAAAGAGACCCACCTGCATCCAGCCTTTCCACTCTTCAGTCTGATGCCTATTTAAGTAAAGTATGGGTTTCCCAGAAAATGGAGACTTGTCATGATGTATTGTAAATGAAGTTATTGCTGAAACTATGATGAGAAGAAAATAGAGGAAGATGAATAGATCCCTATTGTAACTCTGCAAAATACGATGATCGTCAACAAAAACAGCATATTATTAATGCATGAAAGGTGTATGAAAAGCATGTTTTGCAAATAATATACACTAATGCATTTATGGATAGAGCACACAATGTGGAATACTACACTTTGCTAGCCTATGAGCATTACAATGCATTGATACTTGCTTCTAAGGTGGTAATCTGCACCAGTATTAATGCAACAAGTAATTCAAACCTTTCTCTTTTCTCTTTCAATCCTCCCTCCCCCCCTCAACTATTGAGTTCAATCTTTTGGCAGTTAACTCTTCCCAAGAAATGGTCCGACCCCTTTAGATATTTTTCCTTATTTAAAATTGCCATCTAATTATTCAAAAATCATGAAAATTCAGGGGACATCTATGTAGATTTTCAAAATGGGGGGAGATTTTTAAAACCAGAGTGTTTCTTTTTTAATACCTCTACTGACTTCAACTTTTAATTAATTACATTTTATCTCCATAACACAATCAATTATTATTTTCTCCACTCTGCTCTTAATGTGTGATTCAGTCCAACTCATCCCTACAAAACCAGCTTATAAGGTGGAGGTTGCCCACACTTTATAAACTCTACACAAGCCATATCTCCTAGCAATGTGGGACTAAATTTTCCCCTTCAAACCCAACACAATGAAGGTGTTGAGGGTTCCAATGAAAGCAAGCCAAATGCTGCAATCAGGCGACTAGGGATGGACTGCAATGAAAGCGGAATTTCCAACACACTCCCTCACGCTCAGGTCTCAATGAGAAGTCCCAATAACAGATTTAGGATAGGCTCTGATACCGTCTTAGAACATGTGATTGGCTCTAACTCATTCCTACAAAACTGACATATAAGATGAGGGTTGCCAAACTTTATCAACACTACACAGGTCAATACCTCTACGCAATTCGAGACTAAATTCACCCCTTCAAACCCAATACAATGAATGTATTGGAGACTCCAAAGAAGGCATGCCAAATGCCGCAATTAGGAGACTAGGGGCAGACCGCAGTGAAGGCGGAGTTTTCAACGGTTCTGCCATATTAATTAAGAAAATGGATATCCAATATTTTGAAGTATTATGATAGAAGTTCAATAATTACTAATAAAATATTTTGCCCATAACTGTTTAAAACTTAACATAGGGAAGCCATACGTGGGTGTCTGTCAAACATTACCCAAATAAACAAAATATGAGGCACTACAATTCAAAACATGCAAGTATAATGAAACATGATGAAGAAAACAGCTGGGATCTTTCTAAAATGTCATGCTGCAATAGTTGCTTGAGAAACTGACTATTCAACATGTTTAGGTCCAGTCATCAAGAAAAAGACAAAAAGGAATAACATGGTAAAATTATTAACCTTTTTTGATGAGCCAAAGAAATCCGTGCGATCGCATAAATAGTAGTAAGTCAAAAGAAAACCAAATTCAGACCTATTACAGAGGAAGAGTGAAGGAAATGGAAGTTAGTAGTTTGATCCACACATGTAAATATCTTGTCGTATAAATAAAATGGTTCACTTACATGGCTCTAAGTGTCAAACGGTTTTCAATAAGGAAATGTTCATCCATCAAGAGGAATCTGAAGAAATAATAAAAAGGCAAGCACTAAGTCTTCATTTAAGCAAAGACAGAAGTATAGAACCATGGTTAACGCAAGCAAAAACAAGAGCGACATGAATCACTACCGGATAATTGATGGTGAGGTAGATAAACTTCGAGCTTTTGGAGTTGGGGACGCTGGTTGTTGAGTTCCTGCTTCCAATAAAACTGCTCTGTCTTCATCTTTAACAACATCATTGCTCAATTCAACTAAGTTTATCTCGGAGTGCCTACTAAAATATAGAATAACTTCCGTAAGAAATACTGGCAACATTTACTAATTCCTTCCCTTCTTTACACATTTGATAAAAAAGAACCATCCAACAAGATTATGTCTCTGTCAAAACACTTAACCATTTAATCAGCCTATAATTAGATTATTAAAACTCAACTTATGAAATATGTTGCTTTAAAAAGAAAGTTCATACCAAAAAGTAAAGTTAAATTTCGGTAGCCAAAAATGCTAATCATCTCATGAAGTCTCTAACCACTTAACTTAACTCCTCGGATAATACAACAAAAAGAAATTCCACAGTCAATCCAAACAACAAAAAATATCACGCTACAAAAGAATAACCGATCAATCAAACTCACGATTTCATCAAAGAATTTTTCCGATACTCCAAAATCTCTGAATAAATCCATGCTATAAAAACCGGAATGATCCCGAGCAAAAACGAGACCTGAAATCATCATAAATAAAACAAAAAAAAAATCAGCAACTCTGCATCAAATCAGCGTAAAAAACTTCGAATCACGTGTAGCAATAACCAGAACAAGGTAACAAGCGGTAACATAACAGAAAACGGTGCAAGATCTGAGAGAAGAAATCACCGAAAACGTACCTGACCGGGAGTAAAAGGAGCGACGATATGCATTTTGAAAATTCACAGAAGAGTTCCGATGAAGGCGAAGTCACGCGAATCGAAGCGGCATAAGGGATCCACGGCTATGGATCTAGTGATGAAGAAATGCGAACCCTAGATTTGCGAAAACGATAATGCGAATGTGAATGCGAATGTGAATGCAATGCAAGTAGAATAGAACACACTCGCTGCAATAAAAAAAGTGTAGTAGTAACTGTTGTTAATTGTTATTATTATCTTATCGGTGTAGAATTAGAAGATGATTTTGACTTGTGTTATTGTTTTTGGAATCTCTAGTTGTAATTTGGTGTAATTTGAATTCAAGTTTTTAAGATGTGATCTGATATTAATGGAAATGGTAGAGTTCCACTCATGTATGAGTAATGAGTAATAGCATTCATCACCGACACCGGGATTTGTTTCCTTTCTATCAGTTCATTCGCCGCGTGGCCCACACCCTACCACCCACATCACACTTGGGAATTTCTTAATCATCTTCCCTAAAATACAAGTGACAACTTAAAATCGTTTGGTTTAATGCTTAAAACATTTTTATTAATGGATCCAAAATTTCCAAATCCTGAAATTTTTGAGCTAAATATTTCTTTTCTAATTTTAATTTTACAATATTATATTTTTCAAATCTATTCCTTTTTTTCAAATCTATTTCTAAAATGTCTTATTTTTGGATTTATTTAAATACTCAATAAATTCAAAATTATATTAAAAATAATTATTTAAATTATTTAAATTACAAATATACATTTGAAATTCTAAAAACTGAAAATCATGTTGTAAAGGTTGATTTAAATATTAAATTTACAGAAATAATTTGTTTGGTGCGACTTTACTAGGTATGTGTAAAATCGAGTACAAATAATGATAGTCGTAATTACATGCAATGTCTTGCTCCAAACTCCAAACTCTGTGATGGCCATGACCAGGGGCGGATATGGGTTTGTGTAACCTAGCTCATTGCATAGAGCCGCAAAAAGTTAGGAGCCTCGAAATTGGAAGAAGGGTTGAAAACTATAACAGTTAATAATTAATATTAATATTAACTGTGAGATTATTAACAATAAAATGCTTTAGCATGTCAGCACAAGAATTGCCTTATGATCAAAAGCATGTGAGTTTGATTTCTCGTTTTTTATCAACAAAGCTACTAGATTTTATTCATGATTTTTATAGTACACGAGTTAGGCCTTAATTCAGACCGAATACTTATCGATTCAAATACTAGTCTCTCCTTTTTTGTCGTTCTGGCTAGAGTGTGTGCAACTAAGTTGTTGTTGCGATTTGTGTGTTTAATCCTACTCTCTCTTAAACCCTTCATCTTCTTGTGAATTGTGTTGTGTATCATTCCCCATCTAGATATATGACTGTCCTTCTCCTTTATCTTTTCCATTAAAACGTTGTTATCTATTTAAAATATAACCTCTTTATAGCAACAATCAATGGCAGTTTCATGATTTTTATTCATGATTTGTATACAGGCCGAATATTTTTCGATACATACATTAGTCTCTCCCTTTTTGTCGTTTTGGCTAGAGTATGTGCAACCAAGTTGTTGTTGCAATTTGTGAGTCTAATTCTACTCTCTCTTAAACCCTTCATCTTCTTGTGAATTATGTTGCATATCATTCCCCATCTAGATATAAGGTTGTTTTTATCCTTTATCTTTTCCACTAAAATTTTGTTATCTCTTTAAAAAATAACCTTCTTATAACAATAATCAATGGCGATTTTAATCGCTTTTGGGAACACCATCGATTCAACCATTAACAGGTTATTCTCCCATCCATGAAAATCGAACTAGTTGCTAACGTTTCACCATTTTCGTCTCTAAAATGGCTTCGAGACCCCAATTTCCTTTTGTTCTAAGGCTTGCATTGGTGTTTGCTTTTATCCACCCCTTGTCTGATCGAAGTCGATTCCTCTCTTATCTCTGCATGTTGTAGTTGCTCTCATCATTTTCTTCCCCAGGCATTGAATTTGTTTGATCATATTTATCGTTATCCATATTCAATATATCCAAGTTATGGTTTTAATTGATTGTTTTTCCTTTGTTAATTCATTTGTTTGTGATGTTGTCATTCATATGAGTGACTTGGAAGTTGTGGATTGGAGCTTGCATGTTGATGGTTAGTTGAAGTCGGTGGTTTCTACTACTCTCTTCTTAGTTTCTTCTCTTAAAATAATGTATATCTCTGATATCCTGTTGCTTATTATTTTTGCTATTGCTTTCTTCCTCGGTTCCAAAACTAACATTTTCCTTACCTTTTGTAGTTTTCCTCCATTGTTCCTTCTGGAGTCCATCGTCCCCTTCTTTTCATTCCTTTCTTGATAATTTTATTATTTTTCGTTGTTGTATTATGATCCTCGCCAGTTTGGAAATTCCTTCCTATGTTCAACCTTTTTCATTATCTTTGTCCAAGTTAGCTCCAATGATGTCTTGAACATTATTCTATATTTCACTAGGATTGTTGTATTGTAACTCATATTTTTTATTCCTTTTCTCTGTGTTTCAACCCTTGTTCCTCTTCTTCTTACTAATCTAATTTTTATTAGTAGTCTTGTTAGAGTCCTCTTGATGATGGTCTTCATTTCTCCAAGGTGAGTTATAATCAGCCATGTGATTCTTAACACTTCTTCCATTCCTTATGTTATTATCTTCTTCCTTACTAGTAATTTTCTTATTTTCTTTAGGATTGAGAGTGGTAGTGATTCTATCGACACCTTTGTTTATTCTTTGGATAGCCAAAATCACAGGTAACTCACTTTGTTTATTCTTCCTTGCAATCCATATTCAGTCTACAATGTTTCATATATTAGTTAAGATATACTTATCTTTTGTAAACAAAGGTTCCATGATCCAATCCTAGAAATTGAGACCAATATTTTGAATCTTGAGGTTTAGATGTGATCCATACCAAACCTGGATAGCCCACGTACAGTCCCTAAAACAATGGTTGATTATTTCCACTTTGCATTGCATCCCGGATATAAAATATTTCATCTAAGCTCTTTATTACTAAGGTTTTCCATAACCGACAAAGTGTTTTTAAGAATTCTCTAGATTAACATTTGTTGTCTTGGAGTAGCTTGGCACTTCCATAATTTCTGCCATATACTTTTATCTTTCCCGCCTTCTAGCCATCCAGGTTCATTAGTTTCCTTCTAATTCCTAATATTTTTATAGCTTGTCTTGTCAGTATAATTTCCATTTCTACATGTTGGCTAACCCATAATATCCTTTTCCTTTGTATCAATAATGAGAATTTCACCGATGGTCTTTCAGTCTATTATGAGGAACATTTCATTGATGATATTCCTTTTCCAACAACTATTTTCCTTATAAATTAGGTCCCAACTCTAGTTACCCCTATTTTTAAGGGTTTATGTGTTAGGACATTAAACCCATATTGATTTGGAACCTAGTTTCCTTGCCAAATGTTAATTTTGTTCCCATTTCCTGCAATCCAACATACACCTTTTCGAATTATCCAACTTTATGATATAGACTCCTCCATAGGTAACCAGGATCACCACCCAATTTAGCTTGAAAGAATCCACACTTAGGGTAATATCTAACTTGTAAAGTCTTGGCCACTAGGGATTTAAGGTTGGCAATGAGTTTTTATCCCTATTTGGCTAGCATAACCTCATTGAAATCTCTCATATTTCTAAATCTTATGCCTCCTGTAACACCCCACTCTAAACTATCGCGGAAAATAAGATAAACAATAGAAACAATTCAGAGTGCAGCAAATAAAGTTTCATGACGACCGTCATGGATGTCACGACCGTCACGGTCATGACGAGCGTCAAGGAGCTGTGACGACCGTCACACTCCCAAATTCTCAGACGCATCAGGGTGTCACATCCTACACTTAACCAAAACACATACACCTGCAAAAGATCATTTACTAACATACGTAGCACAAAATTCGGATGAACAAACAACGATAATTTGTTTAACATTTAAATTATAAAACGACATGTTATAATACACTTCCAACGATTCGTGATAATTAAATTCCATTAAAATTCAGCAAGTAATTATCTTGCATCAATTCACTAAAACAACTATGCATCCAAGCAATATTTGGCATTATCAGATACAACCAATCTATTTGCCATAGTACTTAATAAAATTCAGCAACAAGAAATTCAATTAAAACAATGACATTAATCGTTCATCCCCCCAGAGTGCTACGTATCAGAGCGACCAACGACCTTAAACATAAAGCGACAATTTCTTCCGAGTTACCTGCAAATTACCACCAACGGAGGTAACATACAACGTAAAGGGTGAGATATCAACAATATAACATAAGGCATGATAAAAGTCATGTTAGAATATTATCACAGCATTATAATTCCAACAGTTCGCATAAATGTTAGTAATAATTAAACTGCAACAATTCCTTATTCCTATCCACAACAATTATCATCATAACTCAGCAACTCATCAAAACAACTCAACAACGCAACTCAACAATGCGACTAAACTGTGCATATGCATGTGGTACCAGATTGCCATTACGGCCGCCAATACAGGCCAACAATTTGTCACTAAGGGCCGCCAATACAGGTCAACAATTTGCCACTAAGGGCCGTCAATACAGGCCAACAATTATGATATGCTATGGGACGCAACTATTATGGACTATAACACAACAACAACAACTGTTCAACAACCGTGCAACAAGGCATCAAGCCTACAACCAATTATCCATAACAGAAACATCACATTTCGCATACATCATGTACTCACCACTTCAACCTGTTCATGTCAGAGAACAAGTAACAATATTGTTCCTACGAATAAGAGTCAAACACATTTTCTCAGAAAACAATTAAAAATAACATCGTCTCTACAATTGAGAACTCAACAGTATTTTCATGTCAGAGAACAACTAACAACATCATTACTACAAATAAGAACTCAACACATTTTCATATACTTTCATACGGGTAATATAACTACAACTTCTAATTTAATTAAA